GGTCATCTGAGGGGCAAAAAGGTTGCCTTGGCAAATACCAATCATAGAATCATAGAGTCGGAAGGGGCCTCCAGGGTCATCTAGTCCAACCCCCCTGTGGAATGCAGGAAATTCACAAATATGCCCCCCCCCCACAAACACCCAGTGACCCCGGCTCCGTTCTCAGAAGATGGCAAAAAAATCTCCAGGATCCCTCGCCAAACTGGTCTGGAGAAAAATTTCCTCCTGACCCCAAAGTGGCGATCAGCATTCCCCTGGGCATGTTAGAAAGGGCCACGAGAATGAGGCAACCCTCCCTGCCCTCCCTCTCATGATCTGCCTAAGTTCACAGAATCAGCATGGCTGTCCAATGGCCGTCTAGCCTCTGCCTGAAAGCCTCAAAAGAAGGAGAGCCCACCACCTCCCGAGGAAGCCTGTTCCACTGAAGGACCACTCTAACTATCAGGAAGTTCTTCCTAACGTTTAGCCGAATCCTAGGCCAAAGAAGAACAAGCATGAGCTCTGCAGGAAGACAGAATGGGAACACTCTCCCCAAACCCAACTGCTGCAGACATTTTTGAGTTTGAGGAAGCAAATGATACAAGGACTTTTGAAATTCCGAACAAGAACTCAGCTGGCTGGTCTCTCAGAGCAGATCACGTAACACACGGTTCCCCCTCCGGCTCCCGTTCCCTTCAATGGCTGTTCCTGCAGGAAAGCTTCCGGCTGGATTTCTTTATTGAGAGCATTTGTACCCCACCCTCCAACCAAGGAGGGAGTGGCCCACATGGCTCTCCTCTCCTCCAGTTTATCCTCACAAACCTGTGAGGAAGGGTGGGCAGAGAAAGGACGACTGGGCACAAAGGTCACTCGGTAAACCATCATGGCAAAGTGAAGATCTTTGTTCTCCTCGACTCCATTTTATCCTCACAAGAACCCTGCCAGGTGGGTTAGACTGAGCGCGTGACTGGCCCAAGGTCGCCCAGCGAGCTTCCTTGGCAGAGTGCAGATTCAAACCTGGGTCTCCCAGATTCGAACCCCTACACTGCCCTGGAAGCACGCTAGGTAGCAACTAAGCCAGTCACACACCCATTCTCCTTCTCTCTCTCTCTCTCTCTCTGTGTGCCAAATTTATTTATTTTATTTTTATTTATTGGATTTGTACCCTCCCCTCCCCACCGGGGCAGGCTCAGGGCAGCTTACATAAAAATTGCAACAGATAAAAACAGCAATATAAACATCAGCCTAAAACACAGCATAGTTACTAAAAGCAATTTGTATGGCGGTGGCGATACAGGAGTGGCAGCAGACATAGTAAAAATACACTCAAATCTACCTCACAGGGTTGTTGTAAAATGGCGGAGGGGAAAATGATGTGGTAAGCCTATTGAAGAGCATGGACGGCTACAAGCGTGGACGGCTTCAAAAGGGAATTAGATAAGCATATGGAGCAGAGGTCCATCAGTGGCTATTGGCCACAAGGTATAGATAGGGACTCTGGGGCAAGTGATGCTCTGTCATCTTGGTGCTTGGGGGGGGGGGTCAACAGTGGGAGGGCTTCTACTGTCCTGGCCCCACTGGTGGACCTCCTGATGGCCCCTGGTATTTCTGGCCACTGTGTGAAACAGAGTGTTGGACTGGATGGGCCTTTGGCCTGATCCAACATTGGCATCTCTTATGTTCTTATGTTCTTAAGAGAAAGTTGGGGCATAAATGTCTTAACAGACCCTGGTCTTCCTGGTCCTAGAGGGAGTGGGTGTGTAACCAGCTCAATGTCACCCACCATACGTCTACGGCACAGCTGGGATCCTAGACCCTAGTGAGACAATAACCACTAAACTCCACTGCCCCTAGTCTTTACACACTATCCAGATCTTTACATATTTTGGCAATGCTTTTTAAAACACACCGTACGTGCTTTGATTTCTGAATCAAAGGCTGGATCCAAGCTTAATGAAAAGCTGACTAGCCATATTCCTGTATGTACAGTGTCATAGATGCAATGAACATGAAATTGAGCAAACTTCAGAGGACGGCGGAAGACAGGAAGGCCTGGCGTGATCTGGTCCATGGGGTCGCGAAGAGTTGGACTCGACTGTGCGACTGAACAACACAAGAACATGGGAGTGACCACAGGGTGGCGCTGTTGATTTTAACACAAATTCAACTTTCCTCCCACTGCCATTAGGTTCACCCTCTTCCAGCAGGCCTTAGTGCTTCAAAAAGAAGACGGCAATCTCCAATTTCTAAAGTGTATAGTCTTGGGTAGTGGTTAGAGTGATGACTAGGATCTGGGAAACCCAGGAGCAAATCCCCACTCTGCCGTGGGAGCTCGCTGGGTGACCATGGGTCAGTCACACCCTCTCAGCATAATCTACCTCACAGGGTTATTGGAAGAGAGGAGACTGCTGTAAGCTTCTTTGGGTCTCCACTGACGTCAAAGGCGGTGTTTAAATGAAGGAAATGAAATAAATATCTATGCCAATATTTCACCACGGAACGTTTCAAACCTCCCACAAGTAGCTTCCCGGTCAGAAATCACCAGCAGAGTTGATACCAGTGGTGCTGAACTCAACAGGAACTAGTTATGGTTGCCAGACTCCAGATGGGAACTGGAGATCTCCTGGAATTTCAACTGATCTCCAGACAACAGAGATCAGTTTGCCTGGAGAAAACTGCAGCATTGGAAGAGGGGCTTTCATGGCATTATAACCCTGTTGAGGTCTCTCCCCTCTCCAAACCATACTGTCCCTAGCATCGCCCTGGAATGTCCTGAGAAACTGGGCTTTTCTGACTGCCTTTTGTAATTCATCTCTTCTCTCTCCTGGCTCCCCCTTCCTACTGCTTGTAGCCATGAGTATAAATCTCTTGGCCCACTGAATGCATCGAGAAACTGCATCTGATGACACTTATACCATAATAAATTTGATAGTATTTAGGGCATCACAAGACTCCGCTAAAAATCAAGGCCTTCCAACACCTGTACACCTTGAACAGCCCTGATCTCCCATAGGCTGGTGCTGGCCATGAGTGACATTGCTACCTGTTCAACTACTGGGTAATTCTGCTACAACATTCCCAAGCAAACAAACACGCACAGGCTTCAACAGGCATGTGAGGAAGAGAGTAAAACACAGACGTCTATATGCTGTCCAGAAGCCAAAGAGCTGCGAACCTAGTTCTGGCGTGTCCAAAACAGACTTGGAACTTGTACTGCGTTGCTGACCTGGACACAACTGCATGCTCCTGGGCTGCTGGAGCTAAGGCATGTTAACGGGTTTTTAAAAATAAAAATAAAAAAAGAGGTGCCGGAACTCTCAAGAGGGAGATGTTTTCAATCTGTATGCTGAAAACTCATGAACTTTTAAACATTTTAAAAAGAATTTTGCCAAAGAGGTTTTGGAACTCCATACCGGCACATTTCCTCAGGAAAAAAAAGCCCTCAATGTTGATCTACAGTAGAGGTCCCCAACATGGTGCCTGCTGAGACATTTTCCCTGGCGTCCACCAAGCGCTTTCAGGAAGCGGGTGCAGGCAGGGAGGGCTCTTGCCCAGGACAGCTTCTGATTGGCCACTGAGGATTTGCTGGCTGTGCAGATCTAGAAAGCTGCTTTGGTGGCAGTTCCCACCCCAGCGCTGGTTCTCTTCTTCCTTCTCCTGGTTTCCAGCGTATCGTTTAAATCTCTCCTCTTCTTCCCTGCACTTGTGTTTCTCATGTGCCTGCGTGGAGCTGGCTTTGCCTCCCATGATAGACATTTTGTGGTTGCGCCCAGGACTCTTTGTGTCAAGAATTCCAAAAGGTCCCACATGCTTGGAAAGGTTCAGGACCCTGATCAAAAGAATGCACTAACCCTCGGTCATTTTGAACCAGTTGGGAGTAGTGGTTAAGAGCAAGCACTCTAATCTGGGAGAACTGGGTTTGATGACTCATTCCTCCACATCCAGCTGCTGATGTGACCTTGGGTCAGTTAAAAAAAAACTTCAGAGCTGTGCTCTCAAAAGTAGTCCTGGAAAGAGCTCTCTCAGCCCCACGTACCTCACGGGGTGACTCTTGTGGGGAGGGGAATGGAAAGGAGATTGTAAGCTGCTCTGAGAGAAGGGTGGGGTATAAATCCAATTTCTCCTTCTCCTTCGCCTCCTCCCTGCCCCTGGAGGCCTTGCCGCATTACCACCGCTGCTTGAGTTCTGGCCTGAGCACACATTCCTGCAATAGTTCTGCGTGCTTCCAGCTTTGTTCCACCCCACACCCTCCCTGGAGTGCTGTAAGTATCTGTGTCAGATATCCATATTCATGGACAAACCAATTTTCTATTGCATTCTTTCCTGCCATTCATTCCCACTGAATAGCCTCTCACGTTTTATTGAAGGAAGGCTTTGGTGTGCTACTTTCCATCTGAAGAGCAAGTGCTCAGCATGATGCACTAGCTGAGAAGGGACATCCGGAGATGGCTCGCACGCCTTGGTTTCTTCTGTACAGAAGGTTTGCTCTGCCTTGGCTTCTTTACTCCGCCACTGTTTGGGGGAGCATACACATGACCTCACCCTCCAGCCATTCTGCTTCTATGTCTGTCTCCCTGTCCAAGGTCCCCTCTAATTTCTTCCCACTACTGAGCAGAGCGTCACATCTTGAGCAGAATATAACTGCTGTAATCGTAAAATGGGCAACGGGGAGTGCGAGACCCTGCGCGGCTCCAGGCTGCTGCTGAGTGGGGCTTCTTGTGTTCATGAGCAGCTGCACACACACACAGCTTAGAGGGAACACTGCCCCTGCCCCCAATTTGCTGCAGTCTTTCCCAAACCTGTTCTGGTATGACTGTTTTGGAAAGATCTTAGTCAAACTTTTCGATGTCATGTGGGAAGGGGTGCAATTTTTGCAGGCCCCGCCCACATTGGCACCATTTACTTTGTCTGAGCCCCCCCAGTTGCCATCCCCCCCCCAGGTCTCTTCTAGATTTTGAAATAGCAAGATTACTATATCATTATAGCAGACTGTTGCAACAATGTACTGGTTCCCAGTTGGTTGGCTTTTTTAAGTCAAGCTCTAGCCTTTTTCCTTGTGGAGTTACAAGGAAGAAGGTGTGGACTACACATTTCTCCTTATAGCTCTACAAGGTAATTAAATTAAATTAAATTAAAGCAGGAAATAGCTGATTGTGGCAATGGATCGTTGTAACACTATAGTGGTCTAGCTACTACCCTTTTTTTCAGAAAGCCCCCCAACAAGTCCTCTGGTGACATGAGTGGAAATTTCAAATTCCAAACCATGACTCTGAAAGGTTTAAATTTATCTTTATATTTGTCCTCTTTTGTGTAAGTACCTTGTTAATGTACTATTTCTTTAAGAAGAGCCAAAGAATTTCACAGTTGTAAGCAATTTTGTATTGGTAATTCTGCAGTGGGGTTTTAAACCCCAATTTTAACATGCGGCCCTTCGGAAAACCTATATGCTGCTTGGAAAAGTGTCGGACAGCTGTTTTCAGCCACGGATATGTAAGCGTTTTGAGGAGCATTGGGTAAGCTTGTAAGTTAATGATCTAAACCTCAACCATTGAGTAGAAATGGCAGCCACAGAAGGCTAAGACTACAGAGGTGTAAACAAAACCTCTGTCCGAAGACTCCGTCACTACTGTGAATGGTCCTGCTTTCATGTCCCGCCACGAAATCTACATGGAGAATCATCTCCTTAGGGAAGCCGACCTCTCCTGTTGCCTTCAGCGCACTATTTTTGGCGCTCTTATTTCTGTCGTTCAGTTCCACCGCAGAAAAAGCCTGCACTGCCGCTGATCCAACCTCCCTCGGTCAAGAGAACGGATTAAACATTTTAAAAGTAGGAGGTTGACGTATACTCACCAGAATATGGGTTCCCGAACACAAGAGTGGCGTTTTCTGACGACCGAGTGAGGGACCCAGCAGGTGCATCCTCTAGGAATTCCTGGCGGTGTGCCATCAGAACCTCGCTCTCCTGCTGTAATACCTGCAGAGAAAGGAAGGGCAGAAGAGAAAGAGCTGAGCTTTTCAAAGCCGCAAGTGACAGGAATCGAAAGAGCCTCTCGCATCTCCAAATACGCCTAGAAAATGACGGCAGACCCTTTATTCGCTGCAGAAAGTGTACTTTTCCTCTCAGCCCCTTACCAACTTTTTTTAAAAAACGGAAATGCTTTGTTGTAATGAGTGGGGGATGTTCAACTACTGGGTAATTCTGCTACAACTTTCCCAAGCAAACAAACACGCGCAGGCTTCAACAGGCACGTGAGGAACACACAATGTCTGTATGCTGTCCAGGAGCCAAAGAGCTGCGAACCTAGTTCTGGCGTGTCCAAAACGGACTTGGAACTTGTACTGCGTTGCTGACCTGGACACAACTGCATGCTCCTGGGCTGCAGGAGCTAAGGCATGATAACGGGTTTAAAAAAAAAAAAGAAGTGCCTGAACTCTCAAGAGGGAGATGTTTTCAATCTGTATGCCGAAAACTCATGAACTTTTAAACATTTTAAAAAGAATTTTGTCAAAGAGGTTTCGGAACTCCATTCCGGCGCATTTCCCCAGGAAAAAAAAAAGCCCTCAATGTTTATCTACAGCAGGGGTCCCCAACATGGAGCCTGCTGAAACTTTCCCTGGCATCCACCAAGCGCTTTCAGAAAGCGGGTGCAGGACAGCTTCTGATTGGCCACTGAGGATCTGCTGGCTGTGCAGATTTAGAAAGCTGCTTCAGTGGAAGTTGCCACCCCAGCGCTGGTCCTCTTCTTCCTTCTCCTGGTTTCCAGTGTATCGTTTACATCTCTCCTCTTCTTCCCTGCGCTTGTGTTTCTCATGTGCCTGCATGGAGCTGGCTTCGCCTCCCATGATAGGCATTTTGTGGTTGCGCCCAGGACTCTTGTGTCAAGAATTCCAAAAGGTCCCACATGCTCGGAAAGGTTCAGGACCCTGATCAAAAGAATGCACTAACCTTCGGTCATTTTGAACCAGTTGGGTGTAGTGGTTAAGAGCAAGCACTCTAATCTGGGAGAACTGGGTTTGATTCCCCACTTCTACACATGCAGCTGCTGGTGTGACCTGAGGTCAGTCACAAGTTCTCTCAGAGCTGTTCTCTCAAAAGTAGTCCTGGAAAGAGCTCTCTCAGCCCCACGTACCTCACGGGGTGACTCTTGTGGGGAGGGGAATGGAAAGGAGATTGTAAGCTGCTCTGAGAGAAGGGTGGGGTATAAATCCAATTTCTCCTTCTCCTTCGCCTCCTCCCTGCCCCTGGAGGCCTTGCCGCATTACCACCGCTGCTTGAGTTCTGGCCTCTGTCCTGAGCACACATTCCTGCAATCGTTCTGCGTGCTTCCAGCTTTGTTCCACCCCACACCCTCCCTGGAGTGCTGTAAGTTATCTGTGTCAGATATCCATATTCATGGATAAACCAATTTTCTATTGTATTCTTTTCTGCCATCCATTCCTATTGAATAGCCTCTCACGTTTTATTGAAGGAAGGCTCTGGTGTGCTACTTTCCATCTGAAGAGCAAGTGCTCAGCATGATGCACTAGTTGAGAAGGGACATCCGGAAATGGCTCGCACGCCTTGGTTTCTTCTGTACAGAAGGTTTGCTCTGCCTTGGCTTCTTTACTCCGCCACTGTTTGGGGGAGCATACACATGACCTCACCCTCCAGCCATTCTGCTTCTATGTCTGTCTCCCTGTCCAAGGTCCCCTCTAATTTCTTCCCACTACTGAGCAGAGCG